ATATTTGGAAAGAGGGAGACGTGACCCTGGTGCTACCTTCGAATGCGTCCCTGCTCGTGCTGATCTCACTTCAGCTGAATCGCTTCCGACTCGTACTCACAACACATGGGACCGATTCCGACTCTGACGCCGAGCAACTCAGCTAACCGGACGAGTCGGCTGCGAGTCGGGGCACTCCGGCCGCACGGCTCGTTACGACGAGGCCCCTGTGGGAGCCCGGACGGACCCCCGCGGCGCGCGGCACGAGCGCCAGGCGCCGCCCGGCACCGGGCAGCCGTGCCGCGCCGTTTCTCCGAGAAGCCGAGAAAACACGACGCTGGCTCGCCGATTACGACACGCGGCTCCGCAGTCGCTGCGGCCGGGCGTGACGCTGCGTCACCGGCGCCGCTGTCTCCCGCGAAAGACGTGTTTATGAGGCCCGCCGGTGACGGCGCGTGTCCGCGCATGCCGTCGCCGGCGAACTTCGGGTCTGGCGGAGCCCGGGACGGCGCCCGCAGGACGCCACACGTCCCGTCCGGACCGCCGAGAATAACGACCCTCGTAAATCAACCCGAGTCCTCAGCCGAGTCCATCGCAAGGAGCGACGGCAGCTCGTAGACGAAAGGATTCAAGCGGTGTGCTTGACATGCCTCCCCCGCGTGCCTGTGCCATGGAGCCCAGTTAAGCCCGCTGTTTGACAAAGCCACTGGGCCCATTGTCATGATACCAGCCCTAATATAATCGAATACGCAACACACATTGACTCCAGTTAAGTGCACAGCCTGGTCTGGCTGCCCCCGCAAGTAACTAACAAGCTGTGTATCGCACTGTAGCTGGCACGAGCGTTTTTCTGTTGTTATTTGCTGGGAATGTGGCCATGCCGACAGCTGAGTACGGCAGCGCCGAGACAGACCGCTGCACGTGTGCCCTGGCCCGTTTCCGGGCCGGGAGGAGGAGGGGGGGGGGGAGGGCTCTGGAGAACCGACCAGCGGACATCCGCCGTCTCCGCCGCCGGTTGGTCGTTCCCGCCCGCGGCGGCCTCTAGCCGGCGGACGCCTCGTGCTGTCGTGGCCGGCGGAGCGGTGGTCGGCACCCATCCGGCCCGGTTACGTAAACAAACGGCAGCGGAGGTTGCCCAGTCGTCGGCGCCGTACTGCGTACGGTTCAGGTCCAAACAGATCAGCGTGTTCGGTGTGGCTGTTGACGGAGGCCTGCTTTGCAAAACAGCTGCTGGCAGCCGTGCCTTGCGACCGATTCGGGCCTCATTTGCTTCGTCGTTGAAGCAGAGTGAGCTGATTACGGACATGGTTCTGCTGCCGCGTCTGACCTGCCGCCTTCGACCGCCAAAGATCGACACGAAAAGTCACAATATAGCATCTTGGCCTTTGTTCATCATTGTATTTAAGTGTGACCTCCTTCGCCGCGATCGGCAATGCACGGAGCACGTTCTCAACGCTGCCGACCGAACCGGCGGGGCAGGTTTCCGTGAGGGGTTGTGAGGCATGGAGACTATCGTCATGACCTCAGCATTGCTGAACATAACCAGGATGAACAAAAGACGTGACACGGCAAACGACTCGCTGTCTTCGGGACATGACATTTTGCGTCATCTTGTCACCTGCTGAACACGCTAAATCTCAGCCATCGACAGCACAACGTCTTGCTAACGTCTGCTGCCCGTGGGAGAGTGAATCACATCCCCTCGGTCAGGCCTGCACCCAAAACGATGGAATGCAGAACAGCTCGGCACATGGTGAACTGAGTCCTACGGCTCTCAGACATGTGGCGCAGCGGTCAGCGCCTCGCGTATCGCCAGACACCACTCCGATGACGGCCCGTCTGGTGTCGCCCGGCGCACCGCGGCGTAATGAGCACCGCAAACATTCGTTTTGCTCTCCCGTCCGGCTAGGAGGTCGAGAGCGGGATTATCCAGCGAACCTGGGTGGACAAGTTTTGCGCTTGATAGCTTTTAAACTTTCGCTTGCATTTAGAAACATTTGAGAATTTGCCACTAAGTTTGAACAAACACTTTATTGCACAGTTGTGATGTCATCGCAGGTCAGAGTAAACACCTATACAACTACTGACACAAATTACAATCACACTTGCACAAACACAAGCACAGATCAAAAATTTTCAAAAAAACTTCGTTGTAATACACTCATCTTTCGTCTAAACCAAATCACTTCATTCACTACAACCGGTTTGATTTCAGAAGGGCACAGGTACCATTGGTATATGGTACATGCCATTCCCATTCAGGATGTTCTCAGTAAGGCTTTGAACACAGTAAAAAAACAACAGTAAAACAGGGTGGAAATCGCCCGATATTGCTAAATCCCGAATGCTGATTGTAATGCACAAATGCTTAACTGTGCACGTTCCTACATCATTTGATGTCATACATAAGATGTACGAATTGAATAAAATGCATATGGGGCGAGTAAAACATTTAGGTCACCCATTCTCAAATCGCTATCATAGGTTATTTTAATTAGCTTGCCCTGGCCATGACCTGTGGAACAACATTATTATTTCGTATTTTCTTAAAATAGTCGATATTTCTGAATGGAAAGCATGGCTAAGAACATCATCTACAAGCATTTCGTCAGCACATATTAACGCAACCAACACACTTAAGGCTTTTGAGATATTGGATTTTTTCGCCCTGTAAGTATGTAGATCACTCCATACTTAACCCCCTTCATATTCCATAATCACGTTCTGATTTATCCATGGCCATACACTTGCACCCAAATTCATACCGCTGGTTCCAGGCGTTCTCTCTACTACAAGCTCCGCTTAGCTGGCTCAATGGGGACTCCCTGGAGATCTAGCTCAAGACCCAGCATGAAAATGACCAGGTAACTGCCCGTCCGACTTGTGCGACTTAACTGACAGTGGGAATGAGTGCTAGTAGTTTACTGGGGGGGGGGGGGGGGGGTCTAGCGGGCTGTCATTATCTGAATTTGACTATGACTACGTCAAGCCTTCTCATGTATGACCTGTCGTTTCCATGGCATAACGCGAAACCTACCGGGTCTGCACCACCTCTTTGCCTGCTTCTTTATATTTGTTTCTGCTTCGTATCTGGAAGAGCTGCCACTTGATTTTGTGCTTTTCTTTTGTTATTTTTTGGCTTTTAACGTACGGTTCATTGCGTTGCTGGGACGGAAGGAAGGATATTCCTAGAAACCTGTTCTTGGAAAACGTCATAAAACAAAACCATGCTATCTCCTCACCCTGATGTTCTCCCGCCTCGTCAGCCAAACCTAACGGAAGAGCCTAACGACTCGACACCTCCACCAACCGCCTCGTCGGTTGTGTTTTATAACTTAGCACGAGCGATGGGCCACTTCCATGAATGGATGTGCCAGCTTGTATGTAACACAAGCAAAAGAACAACAACAAAAACAGCGCCTCAAACATGAAGACAGACAAACGCCATGCGAGCTGTGTCAAGCTGTGTCGAGGAGAACGTAATCGGCCTTCTGGCGTCCGACCCGGTCCTCACAGCGCTGCATCGGAACCGACGCTCAGCAGATGACGTGGATGCATGACTGCGCTGTCAGACGGAGAACAGACATTCGTGGACCGGCGGGAGGTCCGTTTCACATTAGATCAGAGTTACACAGCCGCGGAGGTGGGAGAGAGGACCGCGGATCCTACTGACATGCACCGGCGCGCCGCAGTACCGGCACGCGGCGCTCGGCACGCGCGCACACACCGCGTGGGAACGGACAGTGACATCAGCGTACCACGGCTGTCCGCCCTGTCGCCTCGGGCGAGAGAAACGCACCTGAGTTGGTTATCGGGCAGAACGGGGCACGCAACAACACCATCAGCCGTAACGTCAACTGGTTACGCAACCAACACATCAGCCGAACGTCAGCTGATTACGCAACAACACCATCAGCCGTAACGTCAGCTGGTTACGCAACAAAACCATCAGCCGTGACGTCAGCCAGCCACGCAACACTATCCGCCGGGACATCGGTCAATGGCGTCTACATGTGTTTCCGCACGCGCTAAAACTGAACAGCTGCTAGCGATTCGTGCCCAAAAGCATCGCCGTTAAACACGAGCTCGCGCGAAACCAGCGACGTAACAAAGTGGTGGCGCGCCACTCGCTTTTTCTCAGTTCGGTTGGTAGCGGTGGCCTGAGGACAGACGAGATCGCTGACCTTTTTTGTATTCCCGAAATATTAGTGACTTCAGACATGAGTTCACCTTTTTTCCCTGACGTTGCATTTGGTGGCACACACAAAGACACGGCAACTTAGCAAAGCCGCTTCGAAGAATGCAGTCAATTCAAATCGTACGTCACGGCATCAAACACATCCGGCAAATACGAAAAAGGGTCGGCAAAGGAATACCTACCAACGTCGACAATTTTGAACGCAGTGGATATCGTGGTATCTTTTCGCAACGGAGTTCAGACTGACGACATAAACGTGTTTCTGGTGTGCGAAGCGAGCTGGTGGCCACGGACACCACATCCAACGTTGAATGTAAAGCTCGCATCGTCGCATGTCACGCACACCACAACGACCAAATATGAAACATAAAAGCGATCCGGTGAGGCGGAGACCCCCTACATAATCAACTCCCCAATGGCCCTGCTCCGCCATCGACACATTCCACGCGTCGACAATTCCCATCCATTCTATCCCTCCCTCCCTCCCCCCCCCCCCCCCCCCGGATGACGAGTCGCCAGCCACGTCGACAACAACCGTCCCTGCAGCAGCCCCGCTCGAGCGCCGGGCGCCTCGCACGGGACCCTAGGCCTCCCTCGCGGCCACCACCGGCTTTCGGGGCGTGATGCGCCGAGCCGACCCGACCGCCAGCGGCTGGTGCAAAACACCGCGGCCGCGGCCGGCGGCGGTTCGGCCGGCGGCCGCTAGGCGGCAGGTCGGCGGCGGCCGGGCGGCCAGGCCGGGGCCGCAGAGCGAGCAGTCGGCCCCGTGACGCGGCCACCAGCGCCGCGGTCCGCGATAGTCCGCGAGCCCACAGCGCGCGCCATGGACGTCAACCGGACATCGCCGGCGGCCGAGCAGGCCGGGGGCGAGGCGGGAGAGTTCCGCGACAAGAAATTCCTCTTCTCGGACGCGCGCGGCGGCGGCCGAGACGTGTGGATCGTGCGCGGCTTCCAGGTGTCGAAGCTGACGCTGTACCAGGTGCTGACGGTGGCGCTGGGCGCGCTGGCGGTGCTCTTCCTCATCCTGCTGATCGCCGTGTCGGCGGGCGGCGGCGGCGGCGGCGGCGCGGCCACGCCGCGGTCCAGTGCGCTTACCGGCCACGAGTGTGAGCAGCCGGCCTGCATCCAGCAGGCGGCACAGATGGTCGGCTACATGAACTACTCGGTGAACCCGTGTGACGACTTCTACGAGTACGCCTGCGGCCAGTTCAGCGTGCGCCACCCGCGCGGCATCCACATAAGCTACGGCGTCAGTAACATGCTGGAGGACTACAACCGCGGCCGGCTGGAGGAGCTCCTGGAGCAGCCGCAATTTCACGACGACGACTCGGCCACCAGCAAGGCGCGCACGTTCTACACATCGTGCATCAACGCCTATGACCAGAGTGACAACAACGCACGCAGCATGGTGGACCTGATCAACTCGCTGGGCGGCATGGAGCTGTTCGGGACATGGCAGGAGGACGGCTGGGACTTCCTCCAGACGTTCCAGAAGACCGCGCGAGCTGCACCGCGTGCGCCTCTTCTTCGTGGTGATCTGGTTCCAAAAGCTGAACCGCATCATCAATCCGGCTGCCGCGGCTGGGGCTTAGCGTGAGCAGCGCCTACAAGGTGGGTGACCCGCTGCACAACTCCACCATGGACAACTACCGGCGCACCATCACCAACGTTCTGGAGCTACTGGAGCGCGACAGCCTCGTGCTCGAACGCAAGGTGGAGCGCAAACTGCAACAGCTCATGCGTGCAGGAGATCGTCGACGACATCGTGGACGTGGAGACGCAGATCAGCCAACTGGCCCCGGGCATCATCGACATCCTGCCGAGTCCGCGCAACAACGTCAACATGACGGGGCTCGGCCAGCTCACCGACCGCATTGACTGGATGGAGCTGATGGACGCGCTCTTCGGCAAGGGGTCCATCACCAACACCGTGTCCGTGCACATCCCCAGCCGCGACTACATGACCGGCATTAACAACCTCATCAACAAGACCAGCAAGCGCAAGATGCAGCACTACATGATGTGGGCGCTGATCCGGCAGTACCTGACGGCGCTCGGCCCCAAGTACTCGATCCTCGGCCAAGAGCTCGAGCACAGCATCGACGGCCGGGAGACCAAGTCGCGCGAGCAGATCTGCTACGACCTGCTGCGGACGTACATGGGCCGCGCCGTGCGCGCGCTCTTCATCTCGGGTCACATCGGCGACCAGAAGGTGGAATCCGTGCGCTCGCTGGTGGCTGACGTGCGCGATGTGCTCAACGACAGCTTCGGCTGGATGACAGAGTCGGCGCGCCAGACGTCACAAGAGGTGCTGCGCAACCTGACGGTGCTCTACGGCCACACGCCGTGGATCACCAACAAGCAGAAACTCGACGACTACTACAAGCACCTGTCGCTCGACACGACCGACTTCTTCCAGAACTTACGCGCCGCCTACGAGTCCCAGTCGATCGAGTACAAGAGCAAAGGCACCACTATGGAGGACGAGAGCGAGGCCGAAAACGGCTACTGGATCAAGTCGGAGCCGTCCGACGTCAAGATCTCCTTCAGCCCGCTGCTGCTGGCCATGAACGTGCCGTACGGCGCGTTGCAGGTGCCCCTGGTACCACCACGAGAACCCCAGCTACATCAACTCGGCGGCGCTCGGCTCGATTCTGTACAGCGTGCTGGCTCAGCCGTTCTTGCTGCAGCACCGCACCTTCCGCACGCCCAACTGGTGGGACACCGAGACCACTAACAAGTACAAGGACTACAAGACGTGCATCCGCGACCGCTTCAGCAAGTACGAGACGCACATCCACGCGGCTTCCAGATGAGCCAGGGTCGGCAGAAGGTGATGTTCATGCGTCCGGTGGTGCCGCTCGACCCGCGCCCCTCCATGGACTACCTGCAGGCGCAGCACTATGCGCTGCAGCTGGCCTACAAGCTGCACAAGAAACTGGAGGCCAAGCAGACCTCCGGCCCCATCCTGCTGCCGGGCATGAAGCACACGACCACCGACCAGTCCTTCTTCCTCGCGTACGCGCAGAGCCGCTGCCAGAACAACCAGATGTACCTAGAGGTTCTACTCAACGCCGCCTTCCACAAGTTCCCGCACCCCAAACTGATAAACAATCTGGTGTTCAACAACCCGCATTTCAAGGAGGCGTACCAGTGCAACAAAGTGCCGCCGCAACATTCCAGTCGAGAGTGCAACCTGGTCTGAGCGCCCAGGCGAGACCGACCGGTCCGGCCCCGGCGGAGCCCCGCGCGCCGCCAGTGCGCCGCGGCGGCGGCGGCGGCGGCGGCGGCGGCCAGTGCGAAAGCGCCGCGGCGCGCGGCGTCTTCCAGCGCCCGGCGGTGGCCGCACCGTTACCGGACCGGTGCGCGGCCACGGCCCCGACCCACCGCTTCCGCGTGGCCGCCAAAATGGGGCGCCGCCAACATTTGGGTCGCGGCGCGCCGCCGGCTGTGTTGTGATAGCGCGGCGCCGTGTTGGCAGCGCTGTGATCGGATCCTCCAGCGGACGCGCGCGCGCGCGCGCAGGCGCACGACAGCGCGCGCGCCCAGCCGGGCGGCGCGTGTGCCACGCAGAGACGTGCGCTAATCGCCTGCGGCCGCGGCGCCAATGAAGTGTGAATGCAGATGTGAGATTATTTTGTGGAGCTGATACGTGTTTTATGCGTTGCGGTCGTCGAGTGCCTGGACAATACACGGAGATGTTTCAGTGAGGGTTTTCCGAGTCTGTGGAAACGATCAGGCGCGCTTAGGTCGTGTGCACACACAGCTGCAATGTAGCGGCACAGAGAATCGCAACTCGTTCTGTCGTGCACGCTATTTTAAACTAAAACTAAAATGTTGGCTTCAGATGGTCTGCACGTGTGGCTCTGGGCTCAAGAGTCATGCTAAGCACGGCTTGTCCCGTGCACCTAAAATCCCAAGCATTGCGGTTTCTGTTCAGCGGATAACTTCACCTGCTGCCATTTTGGTCGGACTAGACCGCGCCGTCCAGCGATTTTTTCTCCAACTGTAGTGTTAAGGCACGGCCGCACCCTGACATTCAATCCTTTCTGGTCAGAAGCCAACTGCCGTTTGCCTGAGGGTCGGGCTAGCCAGTGCTCGACTCCGAGGATTCGTGTATAGCGTCGTAACAACATACGTAGCGTGGGGTTGTCTAGTAACAACCCCAAACTCTCCCCAGACCTGGGTACGACGGGAACGCGGGGCGGGAGGGGAAGGGGGGGGGGGGCAGAGCTGCAGCTGCCTCCACCTCGGTAAAAATTAGCATACATCCAACAGCGGTACTCGGAGACGGCCGATGTAACAATTATGTTCACGAGCAACTACTGCGAGGTTCTGCCGTTGAATCCAGACCAACAAATGACATAAGCTGCCGTGTCAGCCACATTACACAACATCCTGGTGGTAAGCTGATTGGACAACGGAATCCAGATGTATATGTGCCCTTCATGATGCGGCTAAAGAAGGTCTTGCGCGCCTGTATTTTCAACATTGTTAGCAAGCATTGTTAAGCTCATGACAACCGACCCATAATACATGTACCACAAAAACCAGGATAAATTCGGAACGTCGGAGGCCGTCTTCACTACAAAAAAACTCAGCTGTAAAAAGACAGCAAAAGAGACCTTCTGTTAAGTCCTATACCAAACACCAAGTTTTTATTATCTCCTCCACTTGAACTATCTCCCGCTGTTTTAACAGCGATAAGTATATATCATGCACAGATATGCATACATAACAGAAACTGACGCTTTTCGGCAGTAGTTCTGCGAGCGAATCCCGCTTGTAAAGCCACAACGAACGCCATAACAGTTGTCACCTTTATGACCGCAATCTTTGGCACAGATCGGAGATGGACAGGAGATGGACACACAAACGATGGTGGCCCTCCAAAATGGTGTATTAGCCCCCCCCCCCCCCCCCAACAGATCAACCGTATCTGATCAAGCCAATGACACTGCCGAAAAAGTGTTTTAAAAGCGCGCCCCGCCGACTGACTGCAGCTATGTTTCACGGGTACCCACGGGCAGATATTGTGCGTGGTAGTGAGGACCCGCGCTAGGGACCAGCGGTGCATGACGAGACAGGCAAGTTTTTTGCAACATAGCCATGCGGGCGGCGCCACCTAAAACAGGAATTACACAACGAAAGCCCCCTCCCCTCCCCCGAACTGGTCAGCATGGCCACCGCGCATGTTAGTTTTCCCCGGGTCTTTTACGCGGCAAATGTTGGCACGGCTTGCCAAATGGGCTGAGACTTATGCTTACATGGCGTACACCGGGCGTCCCAGCTATCTGTGCAACTGTAACGGACGCACTTCCACAACTGGTACCGTGTCTTCGTTGCCAAACAAATGTTTTGTTGCAATGGAGTGTTCGGAGGTAATCTCCTGCTTTTTGCCAACACATCCGAACATATTTTCATTCAGTGCTTGCAGTGCTTGCAACACTTCACGACAAAACACCAAGCTACGGTTGAAAATTCTGTTAAATACCTATCAAGGTCCTGGTAATACGATAAGCTGCTGCAGCCCAGCCACATGCGCCTGAGAGCAGGAGCTCAGCCTCGTCAGTTGTCTGCTCTCAGCAGGCGTGCTCACAGGTAAGAACGACACACGAGCTGAATGACCAATACACTGGTCAGCAACACTCCTAACTCCTAACTCCATGGCTTGTCACCACAAATTGACACGACTGCCGTGGCTGCGTACTCTGCGTGGAGGCAGAGTCTTCACAACTGAACCGGGGGAGATAGATGTGAAATAATTCGGTCCGAGTTGTGCCATTAGTTCAACACAGCAGTAACTGCAGCATCCACAGATCAGACAGTCGCAGGCATCGACGGTTCCACACAGGCTGTGAAACGAACGGCCTTCACTTGGCAGCTATGCTCCACCCGATACCACACACTTTGACCGTTTCACATCCCGAACGTGAAATGCATACAGGAACCTCATTCGATCACATTAATCTTCTCACTGGCGGGATGGCGTTTCATTGAAATGCCCCAAGGGATAAAGCCCTTGCTCCCATACCAGGCTCTGAGTCCAAGGTAGCCACGTTAGCTGCACTTCTGGTGTATATCTGGTCAGATAAACGGCATCAAATGCTAGCCCGGCCGTCCTTTGGTTGGGCTCAGGGGAGCCCCGTGAAAAACCGGCTCGAATCCCAGTCACGTCATGAATCCTGGGCGTTAACGTGACCATTGGCCAATGAGGTTACATAATCAGGATTCGCGATGACGTGCGTTGCATTCCGTATGAAATAGTTCGTCTTTATTCTAGCCTGAACGTTCGGCTTGAAGACCTATTCGGCAGGTGAAAAACTTTCACAAACACAATGCAAAATAGGTAAAAGGTCATTTCAAACGTGTGACTTGCCTTGAAAAGTGGCACTTTTGGAGGTTACTGTGAAAAGGCTCAACAAAGAATGGGCGGGTGGAAATGGTCGTCCAAATAAAATAGGAATCAGCGAATTTTGGGCGATAACTTTATACATAACCTCATACGGACGAATAATACGGGCAATTTTCTTACGTTTATTCCAATATCCGCTGCATCTAATGTCTACGTCTGGCTTAAACGGACTGAATATAAGTTTGTCGACAGCATGCCATGGCAAACCTTTTGGAAGCACACCTGGAGGCTATTTTCTGTTGCGCTGGCTGATCATGCGCAACAGAAAAATGCATGATGGGCGCTTATCATCTTGCGGCGCTGCTGCGACACCTGCTGAAGTGGACGACTGTTGACTCGTAGCGTTCATATCATTGAACACACGTTAACAATGGGAACTGTAATGTTAGTTTAAGCAATATAACAGGGCATTCTTATGTTTCGAATTCTTACCTTAAATACCTGAACAGCTTTTACATCTACATTTTATTCATGCTTGGAATCCCGCACAAAAAATCCGCAGCAACAGTTGCAAATGCTCCTACAGTGAGCTTATCTCAAACCTGCATGGATTTGGGAGGAGAAAACAACTCATCCAAATTTTTTACAAGCGCAGCCGAACCCTTGTTGGTTGGGCCCGATCTTATGCAGCGCGCTGCAACATGTACAAATGCAGAAATCACAGGCTGACGGCCGTAAGAGACTAGCAGCTAGCACCAAAAACAATTACAGCCTAAGTGCGTCATCGCATTGTTCTGTCTTATCCTGTTCCGTTTAGTTAAGTTCAAAATGGCCGCCGCACGCGGTGCTCGGTGTGACCTAATACGCTTTGAAAGATGACAAAGACGAGATACAATGCATCAGCGATTACGTCACGGGCAAGTGAGGGGGCCCAATATTCTCCAAAATGCACGATTCGGTTTGATCAAAATGCAAATTTTCCATGCGTCTAAGTTTGGCGTGTGCTAGCTTGCAGTGCTGCGAGGTTGGAAATCTAAAATTCCACCATAAACTTAAAAATGACCTTTAATATACCAGAATGTAATGGTTAAATACAACAGGCAATCAGCCGAGCACATTATGAGGCCACTTAACGTTTCAAGGCAGTTTTCAAGGTCATTCGTAACTCGTCACGAGTCACGCTTGTGGCCAAGAGCACTGCTTTAAAACACCGATAAATCTTACACTATGTACGATATATATATATATATATATATATATATATATATATATATATATTCCTCTACCTTAGTAACTGGTTTATGTAATACCCGACAAATCCTACCTATTTCACCAATATACCTAGTCAGCGATTTTCGGAATAAGAACTCATAATGCCGAAAAAAGCTAGGGGTTCGCGGCCCTTCTTCCTTACATCAAGAGTTACAGTCCCCATACAGCTACACGGACAGTGATCAAAGA